ACAAATAACCGTTTGTTATTGCGTGCAGAGAGGAACACGTGAAATAGCTCGCATTTGGCCACGTTGAGGGTCCGATTCGCAGGATCAACAATCTCAATTCAAATGCTTTTTCATGGTCATTTGTATTATCGTCGTGACATTTTCAGAAAGTCGTATCTTTGAAACTTAAATATGAGATTATTAAATGAAAAGGAAACTAATGTTTGTGGAAAAAAATTGTCATAAAATAAAAGAAAAACGAAATTGGGTCAGTCTGATAAATAATTATTCTTTATTTAAAGGACATTTAAGGGTGGGAAATTGACAGACCAAATGTGCTACAATTACATTATTTTTGACAATTTCTTTAACAGCTCTCTCATAGGTAGAAGTGGGACCGCGATTAAAATAATCACGAACCCCACTATCTGTGAGAGAGCTGTAAATGTGTACAACACTTGATGATGTACATATATCATTTTCCTTGACCGAAATGGTTTACTAACTAGTGACCCTTGTGCGCTATTGGTCTGTAACTTTATATTCTTGGCACTGACTCCCTCAACGTATTGATTTGTGTGCAAAAAGTCCTTTTGGATGTTTTTCGTCCATTCTTGTCATTTAAAGTTTATGACTATCTTAGTACTTCCTAATTGTTGATTTTTAATTATTTTTTTTGTATGTAATTTGGTATTTATGCTCTGTTAGATATTGGATGTTATTTGATAACATATTTGCTATATCTTATTTCTTCTATTTATGATCTATATTGAGAATATAATCTATATTGTCAACTTATGATTTCTTAAAAAATATTATAGGTATAAACAAAATTGGAATCGACATACCTATTGTTGTTTCAATAATTATATGAACCCGAATTATCCCAATTATGAAATATTCGAAATTTCAAGTATTGAAAAACCCGTATCGATCCATTCAACCCACAGGCCTACATTTAAAGGACCATTTGTGAAAAATTTCTTATTTTTCATATTTCTTTGCAATTATAGTTAAAACTTCATTTACCAAATAGATAGAGAGAAAGAGGAATACATAAGTACCAGAGAGAGAGAGAGAGAGAGAGAGAGAGAGAGAGAGATATGGCTAATTTTTAACCATTTTTTATTTTCCACGTGCAGTGCTAATGGTAGTGTTGGTACCAATTTTCCACTTCTAAAGCTACCCTCATTTATGCCTTTTTTAACCGTGATATTGTTGGTATCATGTTAAAATAATTGGACTTAAAGAGGATTCTATTATTTAACTTTTAGTGATTTTATTTTATTTTTATAATTCTAAAGTATTATGCCAATTGAAATTAAAATTTGATTACTCTCTCTATGATTTGGATGCTAGGCATTAGCCTTGGAATCTCTCTCTCTCTCTCTCTCTCTCTCTCTCTCTCTCTCTCTCTTCGGTACATGAAAATTTGACCATGACTGCAAAGGAAACATGTTTACGGGTTGAATTCATCCAAGAGTACAAATTTGTCTTCCACCCCCATGCAAGAGTCGAGAACAAAACAATCAACTAAATTAACCCCCGCTTGACCCCATTATTTCCAAATTTTAATTATTGGAATCGTGTTTTTTTGAAAAATATGTGGTTGAAAAAAAATAAATTTTTTTTATTTGCGTGTAATATTATTTTATGAAAGATTGCGTGATTTAAAATAAGAGAGAGAAAAAATAAGAAGGTGAATGGAAGTTAAACAGATACTAAAGCAAATACATAATGAATAGCCTATCAAATAATCTAATCAATGACCGCCCTGCTGATCAAAAGATAAGCAAACTCATACGAATTCGTGAATAAAATTAAAATCAACTCAATAGAAATTGATTCATTGCTACAAAATGGATAGTGTGCTTGTTCATGAATTCACACTCACGATGTTCCGGTCAATACTTTCAATAAAATGTTTGTGATGGCTTATTTCATGCTTAGCACTATCTCTACTTGATATTCTCACGCTCATAAACCCCTTCAAACGTGGCTAACTCCTTGAATTCACAAGGCAATTCTCCACTCTGTCTAAAAGTTAATAATTTTATATGAATTCCACCACTCCTAAAAATGAGAGGTCACCAATCTTATAAGATTTCACTCTTAACATTTTAGTCGTGCTTGAGTATCTAAATTATTATACTCTTTGTCCCATTTATATAGGCTGATTTTTTTTCCCTCATGGATTAAGAAATCTTATTTAATGTTATTGAAAAGACAAATTTTGCCAAAAACTTTCCTAATTTACCTTTGTTTATATTTGTACAATTTCAAGTTTAAGTGGAAAGATTTGGTTATAACTAGACAAATTAAATAAGGGTATACTAGTGAACGAACAAAATAAAATTTTTTTAATAAAGAAACATGCCTATATAATTGGGATAAAAAAAAAAAAAAAAGTTAGCTTATATAAATGGGATGGAGGAAGTGTAATTTTAATTGTGATATGTTTCAAAATTTCTATGTTACCTAAGCACCATCAAATATTAGGGATGATTTGATTTTTAGTTTAAATAAATATATTTGCATAATTACTCGAGCAACACTGTTTAACTTTTATACATAAATTTTATGGTAAATTACTAAATTCCACCGGAGTCCTCTACCTTTTTTGACTGTGTTACTAACTAATGTCACTAACCTATCATTTAGGCCATTTTCAGCGCTGCACCAAAATTTGCACCATTTTACACCAAACTAAAATTCGTCTCCAACCATTATACCAAATAAACAGTGTTTAGCCACTTTCTTCCCTTTTTTTATTCTTAATAATTTATTTATTTGAAGTATTATTTATTTAATTATTTTATAAATACATAAATTACTAAATAAATAATTACATTAAATTACAAAAAAGATTAATTTCATTAATAAATATAAAAAATACAGTACAATTAATAAAAAAAACTGCAACAAAGAAAATATTAAATCATGCCATAAAAAAATAGTGCAATGTATTTCAAATTTGGATATTACGATATTACGAAGCCGCAACATTTTTGCAATTTAATTTTCGAAATTCATATGCTCTTCCCACAAATAATCGACTAATCCAGATTAATAAACAATGTACTTTTTTATGTATCATTTTCTTCAAATAAAATTATATTATTGTATGTATATTGTCGTTTAATATATTTCATTTTAACTTTTATTAATAATCGTGTTTACTATATTTTAAATTTTTTTCTTCCTTTAATTAATTCATTAATTATTATTTTTACATTTAAAATTTATTTTAAATGCAAGTAGTAGTAGTAGTAGTAGTAGTAGTAATAATAATAATAATAATAATAATAATAATAATAATAATAATAATAATAATAATAATAATTTATTTTATTAAAAAATATATGGCACAAATTACACAAATACCCTTAATCAATTTATTTGGAAAATGATAAGAAATGGTAAAAAATACTTTATACACTTTGCACCATTTTGGTGCAAAGTATAGTGTTGCATTGGAGCTCTTTTACAACAAAAAAAGGTACATTTTGGCGTTTTTGGTCTCAAATTGGAGATGGTCGTATTGCACACGTCCCATCCTTTTAAAATTATGGCAGCTATATACACACCTAATTGAAAAATGTATATTTCAACGTCAAAAAACCACACAACATTTACATGATGTTAAGATGGATTCAAGTCAAGAGACGTGTTTCATGAATACTCATAAATTTGACCAGATTTAGATTTCTAAATAAAAGTAGTAGTTACTATTTAGATTGTCTTAGAAATGATTTTTTTCTTCCTTTTTTAGACAATTTTATCCTTTCAGTTTGATAACATGCACATGTAATATGATTAGACTTGAGTGTCAGGTGAATCGGTCCGAATGTTTCGATATTCGGGACTGTCAATTATACTTTAGGTATTTCATAAATGAAAAAATTCTGTTTCACATGATTATTGGAACCAAATTCGAATCTGAACCGTCGATTCGATTTGAGGTTGATTCTATTCATAACATTTTTATTTTTAAAAATTATGAGCTTATAATATAAATTATCTTTCAATATCTAACATAAATTAAAGAAATAAAAGCATGCAACAAAATACATATTCCATTACCATCTTAATTCAATGGAAATTTTCCTTTAAATAACATCTAATATCTAGAATAATAACATTTGATTCTGGTTGTAGCTCTATGTATGCCACCTCGAGAAGGGTTTTTGGACCGAACAATGCGTGAAGTGTGGTCAAGAGGGCAATGAATAAAAGCGGCGTGATTCAAATATTCAAATGAAGGAATATGATTTATTAGGGTATTTACTACTTGTTGGGCTTGCAAATTTGCTATTTGTTGAACCGGATCATTGGGTCAAGATGATTACATTGTAAAAAATAATAATAAAGAAAACTTATAAAAAGGACGAATTCAATTCCACAGTCAGGTACCTTCAACTTGAATTAAAGAATCAAGAACCAACTTGATCCTGTTGGTTCTCGAATTCAATTCCAAATTTATTTCTTGGTGTTTTGATTAAAATGCGAGTCTTACACATGACCATCTAACATTCAAATGAATGTTATTCGTTACATAGAGACAAGAGTGCACAGTTTGAAAGGGTGAACATACGAGTACAACAAATGATAGGGGTGAGAATATAAGTGCCCTAATTATGAGAAGTTAAGGACCACAAATGGAATTCAATTGAGTCATATGTTGACATTGTGCCCCATGTGGAAGAAATATGCGTAGTGATGCGATGGATGTTTTCAAAATCAAGAATATAGATCTTCTCATATGGAAAAAGTTGATGTGATGGAGACTATAAGTGTAGCAAGATTGAATAGAAGGAAAAAGCCGTGAGTTCATGAAAATGTTGATAGAATTTATATCGATGCTGGCGTGACAGAACATAATTGACCTGTTTCTTTCTTTCTTTCTTTCTTTCCATTTTCCAATGATTCTACACAATGTATTGTCTGTTAAAATTCCCATTATGTATTGCATAATTGTTGAATGGAATTTAACCTATAATATGGAGTTGTTGTTCAATTAGTTGACCAAGTGTCATCTTGCGTTTCAGGAAAATAAAATCATAAGTCGTCTCTCAAGAGCAGGACGCGTAAACTCCCCACGCAAGCAAACCAGATGCCCCCAATTTCCACGAATATTAAACCGGCGACCCTGTCGGAAAGGTCAATATCAATTCGTTTTCAAATATTCCCTAATTTATCAGATGCTGAAACCGGTCATTCAAGTTCTTTACACTGTAATCCTCCCCTTTCTTCTCCAAGTAAATCGTCCTCATTAGATTTATATAACCAGACGTATACACACACATATAGATACAGATTTTCTTTAACTTTTTGCATATTCGATGGCTCAATACACTCAACAATTCCTTAGTAGCGTCCTCTCGCAGCGGGGTCCGGCTGCGCTGCCGTACGCGGAGGATGTCAAGTGGTTAATCCGCCAGCATTTGGTATCTCTCGCGGAGGCATACACCTCACTGCAGCCGAAGACAGCCACGTTTACGCACAACGACGGCCGCACTGTCAATCTTCTCCAGGCCGATGGAACGGTGCCGATGCTCTTCCAGGGTGTTACTTACAATATTCCGGTTGCTATCTGGCTCCTGGAGTCATACCCCCGCCATGCGCCGCTAGTTTTTGTCAACCCCACCCGTGATATGATCATCAAACGCCCCCACCCTTTTGTTTCACCCAACGGCGTGGTTTCTATTCCATATATTCAGAATTGGGTTTACCCAAGTTCTAATATTGTAGAATTGGCTCGGAATTTGTGCCACTTTTTTGGCCGGGATCCGCCCCTCTATTCGCAGCGCAAGCCCTCGAACCCTAACCCCAGCCCTAATTATGCTAATAATAATTTGTCCAGTGTAAATTCGTCAGTGGGTTCTGCTGTTGCTCGGCCAGCAATACCTCCTAGGGTCTATTCGGCTTCACCTACACCAACTCCACCTCCACCTTATGGGGCTGGGAGTTCTTATGGTTCGGGAAGGATAATAGAGGATCCAGCTGAGGTTTTTAAAAAAAATGCTATAAATAAACTCATGGAGAGCTTGAATGGTGATATTAGGGAGTTGAGGAAGACGCGGGAGGCAGAATTGGAAGGACTCTTTAGTGCTCAAGCAGTGTTGAGGAAGCGTGAGGAGGAATTAGGAAAAGGATTGAAAGAAATGCAGGATGAAAAGGAGGGGTTGGAACAACAATTGCAGGTGGTTTTGATGAATAGTGACGTGTTGGAAGGATGGTTGAGGGATAATGAGGAGAAAATGGGAAATAATGAAATTAATAGTCTGGATGTGGATGAGACATTAGTGCCTTGCGATGCCCTTTCAAAACAGATGCTGGATTGCTCAGCATCGGATTTGGTTGTGGAGGATGTGATTTACGCACTGGATAAAGCAGTCCAAGAAGGGGCCATACCTTTTGATCAATACTTGAGGAACGTAAGGCTTTTGTCACGCGAGCAGTTTTTCCATCGAGCCACAGCTTCGAAAGCCAGGGCTGTTCAGATGCAAGCTCAGGTTGCCAGTATGGCTTCCAGGGCATCACCACAATATGCATTCTGATGAAATTATTTCTAGTCTCCATATAATCTCATTGTCATCAGGTGTGCTATGGAGAGTTAATTTGAATATTATATACAGTCTCTATGTATACATTTCATTTTAGTGTTGCACGGTGGTAGAAATCAAAATGTTCTCCATTGGTTTGTGAGAATAACAGGTTTAAATAAATTCTAATGTGCTGTTTTTCCTAGAAGTCATCTTTACTTAAATTTCTTTATTTGCAGTCTAAATTGTATAAACATTGAATATTTTTATGGAATTTGATATTTTATCCTTTGATTTCATCATTATAGTAATTAAATATTCTGTTATATGAGGCAGCTTCTGAAGTGTTTTTAAGTTTCAGGTCAGACTTTGTTTAGAAACTATGGAAGTTTATACATTCCCACAACATTTCAATAAAACATAGGCAGAAATTGAGATGATTTACTCATTTGATTGATATTATATTAAGGAATAATATTTCTTTAGCTATACTTGAAGGGAAATAGTCTAGAATACTCAAATGTGATTTTGATTTTATTTCATTTTTTCCATGGTTTCTGTTGTCTATAGAAAAAAGAACTTCCTTATCCCATTGTATTTATTGTTCATGTTCAAATCATCATTGGTTTTTCTCTTTTGAATGTATAACTAACTAGTTGAATGTCTTTGAGTCTTTCTTGGTGCTCTGGGATGTGAATTTATCGCTTGAATAGGACATTTTGGGGGATTGTCAACATGTATGTAGCTCTTGACATGCTTTTAAAAAAAATGAGCATTACGGTTAGCTATGTGGCTCTTGTGGTTGATGAATAAGTTTTGTTTTGAGCTAGAAATGTAGGTTGAGATGACTTTATTATCTTATCATTTCAATTAAAAGATTAGCTTTGTATATGGCCATTTAGATTTTCTACAACTTGCTATGGACATCAAATTAGTGTTGATTTTCAATTTGGAGGTTTCTAGAAATGACTACTTATTTATTACTTTTGCTGACAATTGACAAAGATTGCATTCAAAAGATGGTCATTTGTTCTCCCAAATATCTCTGTATTCATGGATGCTATTCAGGTATCTTTCCAGCTTCACATAGTTGGTGGCATGTTAACGATTTCTATTTAATTTTCTTTTAGCTTAAGATCTGTTCTGACTTTTCAATTTTAGCTTGTGTGAAGTAAGTTCTATTTTCTGGTTATTGATAGGAAAAAAACACTAATAATGATTGCTAGCAAATCTTCTGAAAGAAAGGATAGAAGACTGGGGACTGATGGTTGACTATACCAGAATTCCATTTCATTCGCACTTTTCCTTTATAATGTCTAGCTTTCGTTTACAACTTCATTTTATTCTTTGTCATATCCCATTCTCCTTGCCAAACTTGTACCAATTTCAACTGGCATCATGACTTCCATCTCATAAGCTAAGGAGAAAGGGGTTTTTCCTGTAGCCTTTTTTTTTTTTTTTTTTTTTTGGTTTGTGTGTGTTTTTTTTCTTTGCTGGAACTGATTTTTGAGGTTTGATGTCATTTCTTTATAGTTTTAAATTTTCAATGAAAGATCTGTTTCTGGGATTTTCTTGTAGTTCAATATTTTTTCCCCGTGTTCCATTTTTAAACACGGTTTTTATGTAAGCTATTGCTGTATTTTTGTTTTTCCATAGCATGTTTAATGAGTTTTTCTGTAATGAATTTGTAGTAAATTATGTTTGTCGTGATAGTTGATCCCTTTACTATGGTTCCGATGTGCAGGCGTACTTTTTGTTTGGATTCCGTATTTTTTCCTTGCTTCAGGGGAAAATCAAAGATCTTTCAAGTTCTTTTGAAGGTGCAAATCTCGTCGAGAGTAGAGGTTATTTGTATTATTTGTTCTTTTTTTGTTGTACTTTCTTTATTCTACTTTATTGATAACAACGTGAGATTACAAAGGATTTTCACGTCTCACCCGAAGATTGTCCATACTATCTTGAAAACTGGGATCAAGAAAATACATTTGGGAGGCTCATAACTAATCTCATTTAAATAGAAAGATTAAAACACTCTTATAATACCTTCAACTCCACAAATCCTATTCTTCTAGGAAACAAATAATAAAATTCAATACCTATTTTAATTAGGAAAATACGAAGTCAAAATCCTAACAATCTGCAGAAAACTAGATTCCTTTCGTGGTAGGTTTTGCCTTCTACTCAGCCTCTCTTGGCCATATCCCTTAACATATCTTGCGCTTTTTTAGCTGGGAATCTAATGTCTCGACGGGGTACGACTGAGACATCTGACGATGACTTGGCTTCTCGTGTGTGTCTTGTATGCTCCTTGTGATAAATAATCTGTCAACATTACCTAGATGATCACAAGCTCCCAGAATGCAACAACATGCCAAGCTGAAAGAAGAAACAGAATTCCATCCTCTTCTGATGGGTATGTCAAATGGAAGATTAATCAATAGATTCCCAACTTAAAAAATAAATAAAAAAGAAAGAAAGAAAAACTAACCTAATGGGTACCCCCGACGAGATTAATGTATCGATTCCCATCTATGAATGCACCAGTAGTCCAGTACATTGGGAAGAAACATATATGCACAGTTGGCTATGATAGCTACTGAGCTAGGAGAATACAGAATCTGTGAGGATAAAGCATTAGGTTATGGAAGTTCTTTGCCTGTGCTAAGTGTGCAGGAGATTGTAAGAAATGATGCTAATAATGTCCCCAAAAGATGCATAAAAACCTCGAGGATAGGCCTTTAAGTTCTGAAAGACTTCCACTTTTACTTGATATACCAATCGTAAATCTGTCTTTGCTCACTAATGGAGATGAAGATGAATGAAGAAAGCTTGATGTTGCTAGCAAGGAGTGGGGTTTCTTACAGCCTTACAGTTAACAATGCAAAAATGACTAGTTAACTTCTTTTTGTTGATCTATGTGGAGCCTAATAATAATGTTAGTTTATCCCTGAGGCGTTTTATTCAGGTTATATTTGATAGTTCATACACGTATTAGTTCACTTTAGTATTTGTCATCATATATACAGGGATTTTAAAAGTATAAGTGTTATGCTCTAAGTCCAATCAATTTTGGATATAAGCACTTTTAATATCTAGTTGATGCAATTTTATGATAGATCTATTATTTAATTAATATTCAATTAAATTAAATATTAGAGTCCGTAAATTCAAATTTTGGTAATTTGTTAATCACAAGGAGTTGTGATTGTGAGATACAAATTATATATGATTGAATCTTAAATTATCCGTGATCGTAAGTAATAATGAGACACGGATATCGTCATTACGGATAGACCATCACTTGTAACATTTTTTACTGGTGACGTAAGTAGTCGAACTCACAAGCTAAAATATGATGACACTTAAATGAACACGTGAATGTTTTGTTATATAACAAAACATTGGAGACTCGTTGGGAGATTCCACTTGAATAACTATTTGAGTGTCAGTGGTTAATCTCTAACGTTCGGTAGTGGAATTGGTCCTTTGACTTGAGATCATTATAGTGCCTTATATGAGGGCAGTCATACTTTGGTGATATTGGATGTTACTCTATCAAAGGCCGCTAATACGACATCGTTCGTGTATGTCAAGAATCATATGAAAGTTGTGAATGATTAATAGATAATTTATCACTCTTAAATAGTAAGACATTATTATCTATATTTCATTCAGTTAAGTCGATAACGAAATCCTTGGCTAATATATACTTAATAGTAGAATAAAATATATGATCGATAATCAAGATTGACACATATTCATATCTTATAATTGATCGGATCATATTAATGAAGGGATTATAGTTTCTCGATAAACGAACAAGTTTAGTTTTGTCATACCACCTGATAATTTTCGTCATATGTATTGCCTTGGCACATTGCTAAATGTTAATTTGAGACGACGAATGTGAATTGACGATAAATTAAAATTGGTGTTTTAATTTATTAATTTGATTAAATCAAAATAATAATTCACGTTATTAAGTATCGTGATTAAGAACCTAATGGGTCATAGACAAAAGGAGAACTAGAAGATTGTGATTTACCAATTAATTAATTCAACAAGCATTGGATAAATTAATTATTTGAGTTACTTATTAATAGGCCTGAATTAATTAATTCATGGACTGAATTTAATTAAATATTGGACCGGATTAGGAGACGGGCTAGTCTCATTTGAGCTTATATAAATAAGCAGGTAGGGTTTTGAAATGGTAGAGGATTTTCGTTCTTCTTACTAGCACAAGAAAAGTAAGTATGAATTTTCATTGGAGGCTGGACAATTGGATAGTTATGAATGGTAAATCAAGATTGTTGGAACTGAAAAATAGAAAAGGAGTTTGCAGAATTGAAGAAAGGTACAATTTCTATTTAAACACAAAGAAGATCCTCAGTGAGAATTGAAATTTGTTTTATTTTTCGCCGTGCATGATTAAATAAATTCCCAACAAAAATAAGGTCGTTTCCAAGAGAAGGCTGAGCGACCCTTGTAAAATTACCGACAGCAACAAGTGGACATATTTCTCTAATTGAAGAAGAATTCCTACAAATTGCTAGAAGTGTTTCTCTTATTTTGGTTTATTTATTATTGTGCTTCATAATTAGGATTAGGGCTTACTTCGAACCACCATTTTTTTGCCCTCGTTTGGCCCCTATTAATTTTGATTATAATGGGGGGGAATAGTATTTTTTTTTTAAATGGATGGTTGGAAAAGAATGAAAAGTTCTCGAATTACGTGTCATTATTTTATTGAAAATTGTGTGGTTGAAAATAGAAGAGAGAAAAATTTAATTTAATTTGATGAGATGTAATGGGGGCTAAACGGGTGTATTCGATGGCACTTCATAAAACCAAAAAATTTGCAGATCATAAATCATGTTGCAGATGAAAGTCTCACCAAAGATGAAGGCAGCCGTAGCAGCATTTTATGAACTCTCATTGTGTGAAAAAAAGAAATATAGAAGGGCAGCAAATGAGAGTCAAGGATATCGACAATTTTACGTTGCATCCGACGAGCAGAAACTTGATAGGAGTGACGGCGTGCTTTTGATGACAATGCCATCTTACTTTAGGCCCCTATTTAGTACCCATTTTTTTCAAAATTCATTTTTCTCTATCTTCTTTTCAACCACACATTCTTTATTAAAATAATTTTACAAGTAAATAAAATTTTTGTTTCTTATTTTTTAACCACACACTTCTCATCAAGGTACTATTCTAAAATACATTTTTACATTAAAATGGCTCTCAAACACCCCCTAGGAATATGAAGTACTAGCCCATCACAATACAGGGTTTCAAGTATGTATCCCACATCATTGTATCACCTCATTTAAAAGCTTTGATCTGTTACGGGAAAGTCAGATTTTTTATTTCATCAAATACTTGATACATGCACCATTTTCATAAATGGTGGCGACAACTTAAACTGATGACATTTGCTGCTTGGATATTTTTTTTTAAACTTCATCTGAAAGCTTAGCTATCAAAGGGGGACACATTTATACATTCAGCTAAGCAATGATCATTGTTAAGGTTGAAATACTGAATTCATTGTGAGGCTGAAATCCTCAACAGAAGACTAAGTACTAGAAAAAGTCAAAATTTAGAGCATGTGGCATGTTAGAAATTAAAATTTAGTCCGTTGTCTCAGTATCATGTCGCGTATCTCAGTTGGACTGCATTCAACAACATTAGACCTGTTGTGGACTGATATGTTTTTGTGATAGTTGCAGATTTTATCAGTCTTATTGATCCTTTCAATTTCATCCCACAAAATTTGTCTCATTTTCTTCCATGTTTACCTTAACAGGGAAGCACTTGAAGAATATGCGATAGAATTAGAGAGGATAATGTACGAGATCTTTGGCAATTTATCATCATTAATAGGCATGGAAAGAGGGGTTCCAATGAATTGCAATGGGTTATGAAACTAGGCATGCGCATGGACATCTATCCTACATGTTCGTGGCCTGATTTAGTACTTGGGATTAGTCCACATTCAGATAGCAGCTCCATAACTTTACTTGTGCAAGATGATTTAACTGCCCTCCAAATTAAGCACAAAGAAGAATGGGTAACAGCAAAGCTAGCTCCAAATGCAATTGTAGTGAACACTGGTGGTGATGTCGAGGTTTATGATTAGTCCATTCAAATATACTTTGACGAGACTGGACTGGATTAGACAACAAACAAACATTGGATCTATTGGTTCATTGATCATGCACACTCAAGTACAGTCCAGTCCAGTCCAGACGAATATACTAAACATGTCATCAATGCCTAATTCTTGGATTTGCAGGTCTGGAGCTACAAGAGCATTGAGCATAGAGCTCTTATAAACGAGAAAAAACCAAGAATATCTGTTGCGACATTTGTGATTCCAGGCGATGATGTTGAACTGAACCCACTAGAAACCATGGTGGATGAGAATCATCGTCCAAGAATCTACAAAAATGATGTGACATACGTTGAATATCTTAGATACACCTTGGCCAAAAAGATGGATGGAAAAGCATCTAACCTTGAACATTTAAGTTACAGATGTAAAGTAACAGTCAGGTCGATCAGTTTTGTATAATTGAAGCACATTTCAATTCACTTGTCTGATTCTTGCTTGATGTTCAGTCTGGTTTCTCTGGAATTTCTTGACACAAAAAGTGAACAGATTCCTTAAAACTAATGATGACTACGTAGTCAATGAAAGAAATTAAAATTTGGAATATAATCAATTAAAAGTTTTTAGTTAATTTGGATCTTCTAGTAGCTCTAGAAATGTATCAAAATAGAGTGACAAAATATTTCATGTGGCCAACCTCAAATTTATTGGCTCACGTTCACTGTTGCTGTAAGCTATAAGAAGTTTTCATTATCACTGAACATATAACATATTAAAAAGCAAGATTTGCGAAGCTTAAATGGCTCTTTCTTCTCTAATCCTATCCATTTCCGTCTAATTCATCTCATCAACCATGATAACTGTTGCAATGTATGACTCGATTAGTTCTTTTGATGGATGGGTCTCACCAAATTTGCATTTAGAAGTGCTTCACATTAAGAACAAATGCATGCTAAAATTTCAAGGTAAATAAAAATAACATTACCCAGCAAAACATCCAATCTGAAAATTACTAATGAAAATTCTGTCTGATTTGATGCCTATTATAGCAATCACTTTAGTTAGAAGTTAGAGCACACCCTTAAAATCGGCTTGTATAAGGAGGGTGTTGTAACATGCTTACATTATTCTTCCCTTTTCCAGCTCTTTAATGTCCTTGTATTGATTTTATTTTATTATTATTATTTTTTTTAATACTCCTTCTCTATGTTGTTTGCTATGTAGACTAGTTTAGCATTTTTATGATCCACTTATGATTGCTATACTGGTTCTTTTTAACGTTTTATACTCGTACTGAATGTTTATATCTTGTGTCTTGTCTTCTTGGTTCTTCCTCCCCCCACCCCCACTTGTTTAATGGGCGATTTACACAATGACTTGATTGAGATGCTTTGTTGTGTTGCAATGCACCATACCTGTATGGATTTGGGTTAAAAACCTGGTAAGTTTAGGCCATGTTTGACCTACATTATTTTCAAAAAAATTACATTTTTAAACAGTGATTTTGATTGGCTCAAACAAGGGCTTAAGGGACCTTTTGCGATAAATGGGTAAAGTTCAAGAACGAACCAGGTTCTTAAACCGTATAATTATTGCAAGGAGTATGATAGCAGCTAATTTCTGAAATTTGGGAGATAAAATTTGTTCTGATTTTATAGCTATATTGCTTGTGGTTTTCCTCACTTCCGATCAACTCTGATGGAGGAAGAATTTGGAGAATTTAATGTGAATGCAAGATCAGTCCTTTCAGTTCCATTTAAAAATGAAAGTATTCATAGAGAATCTACCTCACAGTTGAAGTTAAATTTTCTCAAATTTGGTTTATTTGTGCAAAATTTTGAATCTTGTATAAGGTGCTTGATAAATTGCCTGATCGAGCGTGCTTGGTTGTAATGTTTGCCATTTCTGTTTTGTTCATTCCTTATCCAGCCACGCTTTGATATATTATTTTTAGGGTGAAAGATAATCTCTATTCTGGTTAGAGTTCTTGTAAATTTTTCAATGTAGACAAAATGGAAGTGTCCAAAATGGAAATATGATTGCCATTAGTTTTATAGAACGTCTTGTGACATATAATCTGTCGACATTCGTCCTCATCTTTAAGGTCCAGATGGAACTCTTCACCTGTTGTTCACAACCCAAAGGCTTCAGCTGCTGGCCGGGCAAATTGATGTTCTCTTCCGGTCAACTGTGGACCTGCTTTTTACATATCTCTCATTCTTTGGGACCCAAGATGAGAAACTTCCAATATGCAACAACGTGCCAAGAGAAAGATGAAACAGAATTTTAACTGCTTTTGATGGGTATCTCAAAGGGAGATTATTGAATAGATTCTCAACTTAAAGAAAGCTGATGAATATTTCTAAAGAAGATTGATGATCGATTCCCATTGTCTATAAATACACTAGCTCATATATTTGTAAGAAATATTCGCAGTTGGCTATAATGGGCACAGAGCTAGACAATTACAGTGTTCATGAGGATAATCCTTTAGGTTATGGAAGCTCTTTGCCAGTTCCAAGTGTACAGGAGATTGTAAGAAATGATGCTCATAATGTTCCTGAAAGATACATAAAAAACGTTGAGGACAGGCCCTTAAGTTCTGAAAAATGTTCAGTTTCACTTGATATACCTATCATAGATCTCTCTTTGCTCACTAATGGAGATGAAGATGAATTGAGAAAGCTCGATTTTGCTTGCAAGGATTGGGGTTTCTTTCAGGTGACACTGCAAATACCATTAAATAACTTATTTTTCTTTGATAGCATATGATAAAACAGGCTTATTTGTTGTTATTGTTGTATGCTAATACGGGCTCAATTTTACAGATCATAAACCATGGTGCAGATGAAGTTTTACCCAAGATGAAGGCAGCCGTGGCAGCATTTTTTGAACTCCCATTATGTGAGAAAAAGAAATATGCAATGGCAGCAAATGATGTTCAAGGATATGGACAAGGTTATGTCGTCTCAGATGAGCAGAAACTTGATTGGAATGACCTCTTATTCTTGATGACAATACCATCTTCCTTCAGAAATATGAAGTACTGGCCAAACTCAATACCAGGTTTCATGTATGTACTTCTGACATGTTAAAGTAGAACTAAGTTGTCTAAAAGTTTAAAACAGTTAGAGAAATGATATATGTGTTTTGTCTTCAATATGTTCTCTCATGTCCATACGATATTCAATTCAAGGTCTAACACGTGCACAATTTTCATAAATTGGCATCATCTAGACTTGAGTCAAGGCTTTTACCCTGATCTTACAAGAAGTTGGACCCCATAATTGAATAACTTTAAATGACACATTTGCTTATTTAAATTTTGTTTTCAACATCTTGAAATTTCACATATAGAAGGATCAATACATTTTGAAGTTGAAATATTGAATATGGTTCATTTTAAGGTTTAACTCAGACTAGAAACCTAATTGGACAACACATACATGAATATTAACCCACCCTCCCCTCCATGTGCCGGATTTATTTTTCACATTAAACCTAAGACATTTAAAAAATTTCATAAATAGGTGACCGCACTTCATTTAAAAGCTCAAGCTATTAAAGAGGAGACAAATTTATTTATAAAATTTTTTTAAACAAGGATTAAACAAGAAAATTAAGTTTAAATATTGTGCATTATTTTGCGCAATGTGCTCAAGTATTGGGTCATCGTACCTCGGTTTGATTGCTATCTACAATATTGCATAGCAGATTTTACGACTCATTTTGATTGCTATTTACAATATTGCATCGCATATTTTATCATTCTTATCAATCCTTTCAAGTTGGTTCAACAAAATTAATGTCATTTTTTGTACGTTCTTAACAGGGAAGCTCTTGATGAGTACTCAATAGAATTACAGAAGGTAATCGATGACATCTTTAGCAATTTATCATTACTAATGGGCATGGAGGGAGGTTTTCTGAAAGAACTGCATGGGGTTATGAAACTAGGAATGCGAATGAACTATTATCCTACATGTTCCAGGCCTGATTTAGTTCTTGGGGTTAGTCCACATTCAGATTGCAGCTCAATTACTTTACTTCTGCAAGATGATGATATCACTGCCCTCCAAATTAAGCACAAGGAAGCATGGATACCAGTAAAGCCAGTTCCAAATGCATTAGTTGTCAACATTGGTGATGTTGTTGAGGTACGTTTGAGATGACTAAACATTTCAGTCTCTTCCTTTCATTTGTGCTTGTCAACATAATAGCCAAGTGTTAAAATGGTGAGTTGCATTTCCCTTAACATTTACCCTCCGATTATCAAGTCCAGAGCAAAAAACATGAATATAACAAGAGCATTAAGAATTAAGATGTATAAATTTTGCTTACCCCATTTAATTACTCTAGAAGTGGGTTGTTTAAGAAGGGAGTGGTTGTTGGTACTCAACAAGGAATACAATATTTAACCCATTCATCTCCCTAAATCTTTCCAAACTGAAGTTCCTTCTATAAGCAATTGGGAAATTCACAGGAACAAACATCATCTTATTTGGAAACCAATGGAAACAATACAAATTTTCCTTAAAATATACTTTTCAGGACATGTTTGGTCTGCAGAAGGATATACTGTATACAAAACATACAAATAATGTCTCCATTTGTAATCAGTTGTTCTCCTGTCAAGTTTAACATACTAAACATTTTATTAGTTTTCAGTATCTAGGCTCTTCGACGATGCACTATCCTTCACATGCTTGGTACACTATAGGAGTACTGGACTAGATTGGGTAACGTATAAGCAATGTCTTTTGCTTAATCACATGCACTATTGTCGTGTCCAACATATTGAACATGCCATCTGTGTTGATATCTAGACGCTTCGTGATTGCTCTTGTTTTTTCTTGGTTTTGAAGGCTTGGAGCAATGGATTGTACAAGAGCATTGAGCATAGAGCTGTTACAAACGAGAAAAAACCAAGAATATCTGTTGCAACATTTGTGATTCCAGGTGAAGACGTTGAATTGAACCCACTTGAAACCATGGTGGATGATAAATATCGCCCTAGAACCTACAAGAATGATGTGAAGTACGTTGATTATCTTAGATACACGCTTGCCCGAAAAATGGATGGAAAAGCAACCAACCTCCAACATCTAAAATTCCAGGCACAAGTAAATTCTGCTAGTCATTGAACTCGTGACAAAATTTTATGTTGGTCCCACAGCTAGTTGTATTCCTACTTAGTCTCCCAAGGTTCATTTGTGTTTCAACATATAGTATAGGTGATGTAAGCTTGAAATCCGTTAGTTTATTATTTTATATGTTCAGCTCTACAATCATGTTTCACAAACAGATCATTGGTCAATATAAAATTTGTGTTCCATTATTGCCTTAGTTTTTGATCTCAATAGAACAGGTTGGAAAGAAACACATTCATAAACTACTAAGAGTAAGGAGTAGTTACTCAAGTTCAAGCAGTTGTGCAAAATTGGAGATTTTTCTAGAAGGCCATTTTTTAATGATCAAGGTAAGTTAATGTCTCAGCCAATATATTTTGGGAACACTTTCACTGTGGCTGTAAGCTATAAGATGTTTTCATTGTCAAAGAAAATAGAACATGAATAAAAAGTGGTATTTAAGCTTAAATGGCTGTCTTCTCGAATCCTGTCAAGTTCTGTCTAATTCAACTCATCAATCATGCCCGTATATGACTGCTGCCATGAACGACTGGATTAGTTTATTTGATGGATAAAATTTTATGATATGGATTTGACCATAAGTGATTTAGAAGTGCTTCGAATTATGGATGACTGCATGTTAAGTTTCAAAGTAACTTAAATTATAAAAGGCACAAAAGTTGCATCTGTGGAATGGACTTAAAGCTGAAACTTTTCCAGAACCTGAACGACGTTAGAGTGCATATCATATTGTTTCCAAACAAGCTCTTGTTGAGACATTGATGAAAAACAAAAAATAAAATCTATTTTAAAATGTCGGCCTTATTAGGAGCAGTAATGTTGGTTTGTATCTTTATACTTAACCAATGTGCGATTTTACCTCAATATGCCCAACAAGATAGTAGCTCATTTGAGCACATCCATTGAGGAATTCGAATGCTCATTTGGACTGAAATGCTCATTCGAATCTTAAAGAAGTTTGAGGAGCTGCTGCTAAAGGCCCTGGTTTCTTTCCTGATTTCTCTCCTCTCCAGATTCGTCCATTCATAATTTGTTTTCCCTTTTTTCAGTTTTATTTATTTTAAAATTAAAATGCTTCCTCTCTATGTTATATATTCTAGATTTACATTTTTCTGATCGACTATATTGTTTTTCTGGTTCTTTTTAACTTTTTATTGTTGTATTAGATGTTCATTTCTTGCATTTTGTTCTTTCAATTTTTCTCGTTCTAAATGACTACATTTTTTTTTATTGGTGGGTTTTTTCTGTTAATGTCATTTTCACACTTGTTTAATGGGCAATCTATACATGGAATGCTTTGTAATGTTGCAATGTTGTTACTCTGCATCCGTCATGACAACGTTATTTCCTCACTTTGTTGTGTTGCAATGCTTTTAACTGTTATAAGTTCGGCTTAAAAACTAGGAATGCTAAGGGACCTTTGTGAGCAACGTGTAGAGTTCAAGAACGATCCAGGGAGCATGATCATTGCATTCTACTTAAATGTGTCCCTACGTGACATAACCACCCTTAATGCAACCAGTCCTAAGAGACGAGTGGCCGTAGTGATATTTGCACCAACATTTCAGCCAATTACAAGACAGTAATTATTACTCACCACCTCGACATCATTATGACCAGTTCAGACTGATCTTAACAACCAATCAAAAGGCTCATATTCTGAGCAAAGGCAAGTATTTTAAGGACAGTATTGTAGCTAATGTCACTTTGGGCTGCCAATTGGTTAGGTGGGTACCTATAAATAAAAGCATAATCAACCTCCAAAGGACTGAACAAAATGTACCCTCAACATACTCTCTAAAAACACATCAATTTATGCAAAAACTCTTTCTTTTTACCATTGCACTAGTCCACGGTGCATAAATGTTTAAGCGGTTAAAGAGACATTAAAGTATTTACTTGAAATTGTTTTCAACTCGCCCCCTATTTGCCAACTTCAATTTTTTAATCAAAAGCCTGACACGTACACAATTTTCATAAATGAATGATAGCGAGACTTGAATTTAGGACTTACGTCTTCTCTGATACCTTGTTAAAGTACGTATTGAAATATTTAAAGCATTAGGGAGAGGACGATCTTGTTTATTTAAACTATGTTTTCAACACAGAAAAATGTAATAATTTTTTTTTTATTTTTTTTAGCATATGACAAAAACTGACTCAATTTTGCAGATCATAAACCATGGAGCAGAGGAAGTCTTTCCCAAGGTGAAGGCAGCTGTAGCAACATTTCTTTGAACTCCATTTACGTGAAGTCTTACCCAAGGTGAAGGCAGCTGTAGCAACATTTCTTTTGAACTCCATTTACGTGAGAAAAAGAAATATGCAATGGCAGCTTATGATAGACAAGGATATGGATATGGTTATGTTGTCTCGTACGAGCAGAAACTTGATTGGAGCGACCTCCTAAGAAATTTTTCGGATCTTCCCACACGTTTCATCTTGTTTTTACATAACACATTTTCCTTCTTATCATATTGTTTCCATTTTGAATTGGATTCTGTTGGGCATGTTTGGTAAGTGATGCTCAAATCTTCTATGCTATGATGAAAAATGAGGAAACTAGGCCCTGTACGCCCTTTTTTAAAATATTTTGATTAATACCTTTTAAATTATTAAAATATTTTAAAGAACTATTATTTACGTCCTAAATTGGTAAAATCAAAACGAAACCTAAACGAAATTCTACGGCAAGCCCTAATCAAAACATTTTCCATCAATTTCTTCTTCGTTTTCCCTTCGTAATCGTCGACTGTAAATCTCCATTTTCGACCCATTTTCCCTCAATTTCTTCTTCGTTTTCCCTTCGTAATCGTTTTGTTTCTTGTCTCGTTATCATTTTGACCATAAATCCCAAATAGCCTAAACCCTAGATCGAAAATCTAATTTCGATTCCAACAATTAACTCGTATTTTTGCAATGGCTGAAAAAAGTGGATCGAAGAGGCAAAGAAATCTCGAAGAACCATCCTTAAAGAAGAGGACCAAAATTTCCTCATCTTTTTATAAACTGAAGGTAGCAACCTTTTTTTTTTATGTTTTATTGACTTATATTGCGTACATTCTCTTGTTCTTTACGATTTTTGTGTGTTTCTCAATGGTTTTTGTACATTTTGTGCAGTGAATGAAGATTGTGTATCTTTAGCAATGATTTTAGTAAATTTTACTGATTTACATTTTTTTGCTGCTATAATGCTACTTTGGTTTTCATAGTTTCTAGTTGGTCTTACATGGTGACTTCAGAGTGCACGAAAAAAAAATGTGTGGATGTGTTTGTATGCATGGTGGTTGTGCATTTGTTTATATGATTTTCCAATGAACAAATTTGTCCATCCATTGCACTTGAGTTATCTGTCATATGTAAACTTCAAAATTTTCTTACTGCTGTCCTATTAATTTCCAAAACTTTGTTTTAAGTATAATAATAATAGTCATAAAATTGATACAATGACCACTTTCCATAAATCTTGAATTAGCTTGTCAAAAGCTCAAGTTAGAGTACTCATTTACTGACATCCATATGAAGCAATACTAACTACAAAATAAAATAAATTACAACTTTTTTTGGTTGTGTTTTGATGAGGAAGCATCTTTGTGATGGTTTTGTCACTTTTTGGTTTTATGTCACCTTTTTTACAGTTTGTGTCACTTTTGGACTTTCATAATGCACGTACTTCATCTTGAATTTTATTTTAACTGTTTTTTTTTGTAGGATTGGGATTTGTTAATCCCTCAATCCTATTGGTTCAAAGGAAAAGTGACATTGTTATCTCCACACGAGGTGATAACAGACTTGAATGAAAAATTTAGTCCATATCAAAGGACTTTATTCAAAAATACATGCTTTGGTGCCTTCATTGATTTGAAGGAAATAATTTTACAACCACAGTTGATACACCAGTTGCTGCTCAGACAAGTTAAGCAGCCAAATTCAAATGAAATGTGGTTTAATATCTTTGATGAATTGGTAAGATTTTCAATCAAAGAGTTTTGTTTGATATCAGGGCTTAAGTGTACTGGAAATGGTGATCTAACTCGATATAGAATGAAGAGTCGTTTAAAAGAACAATATTTTAAAGATCACGAAAGTGTCACAACAAAAGAGGTTCAAGAAGTGTTTTTAAATTTGCCTGCTGAGACCGTAGATAAAGATGTTGTGGATATAGGCATAGTTTATTTGATTACATCATTTCTATTTGGTATATCTTATCATAAAGGAGTTGATGACTCATTTTTTTGCCTTGTGGAGTCTGAGGATTTGAATTCTTTTCCATGGGGTATAGAAATTTTTAGTATGACTTTATCATCCCTAAAGAGTGCATTTAATCAGAAAATGAAGAATATTTTTATGGAAAAGAAGTTTTTGGAGTATAGATTGAATGGCTTCCTAGTTTCATTTCAAGTATGGATTTATGAAACAATTCTTGCTATTGCTCGAAAAAATTACTGCATGAAGCATGAATCTCAGCGTCCTCGGATGTTGAGTTAGAGTAGCAATCAACATGTGACATTTGTGGGGTTAAGGAAGACCATTTTTGATTTGATTAAAGTAAGTTTTTTACCCTTTTATTGTTTATATTATGTCTTTAGTTTATCTTTTGCTGTTATTGATATGATTATTTATTTTTCAGTTGGATGTGAGTCAAATTGTGCCTCTGGAGGCTGAGAAGGGAGAAGAGTATGTGGTTGGTTTATTTGTTGAAGGTTTGGGTGGTGACCAGGATGATGATAATTTTGAGCATCCTATTGTTGGCCTGAAAAAGTTCATAGATGAAGGAAAAACAAAATCTGTTGACCGAACTGGAAGGTCTACAGAAAAGAAAAACAAAGGGAAGATTATTGAGGTTTGTGGGTATTTTTTCTTTTTATTATTTTCTGTTCACCATGCTCGAAGTTTTTTCAAAGGTTCTTATTATTTTACATTCTTTTCAGCAAGTCCAGCAATCAAATGAAAAAGTTTTGAGACGGCTATCCGAGGTTGAACTGAAATTTGTTCGATCAAATGATGTGATTTTAAAACGAATCTCAGATCTTGAAAGTAGAATGCAATCAAATCCGATTGAGAACCGGCTAAAAGATGTTGAAGAAAGGATTAAAACAAATGAAGAAGTGATGGAGCGTCTTCAAATTTTGGAATGCAGAGTAGAGAAGATGTTAGCTAGTAATGAAGGACAGATGAAGGTATTCAA